TCTGAACTCCAGATACCATATCTTAACCTCTATGAAGGTCTGGAAAACATGAATGAATAGCAAAGAATAGTTCTTATTCTGTTCTTAATTATAAGCTTATTAGCTTTTCAAGAGAAAGAACTGTCCTATCCTCTTGTTATCCCCAACATGTATTAATAATGTCTAAAAAGACTGGATAAACTATATATATAAAATTAATCACTAAATATATAAACATTTTTAGGGCTAGTCTTTTCAGCAACCCATGATGGAAAGTACATGTCACCCCAGGCACCATTTATACTCTATCCCATTCACAACTAAATATATCATAACTGTAATTTTCATGTAGACAAACCTCACTGGTAACTTTTGGATTATGACTAGTGAAAATCCTGAGTTAAGAAGGCAAATACCAAAAATATTTTTAGCAAGGCCAGACTTTTAGATCTGGTAAAATCACACAACAATGTAATGGATTCAATTCTACCTAAATAAATATAAATTCAGTCTTATTCAAATCATACTTCTTTCATTCTCTCACTCATTTTCCTATAGAAAGATGAAAAAGTATAACACAGGAAGGGAAGACTCATCTCTGCATCCAAACAATATTTTAGCTCATCATGAGCTCATCATGAAATGGAAGACCCATCTCTGTATCCAAACAATATTTTAGCACATAGCACTAAACCAGCATAGATTTCCTATTAGACTGGAATCCAAATGGCCAGGATACAAGATCAGCAAACAACAAAAACAAAGTTATCAAAATGTTTAAACAAAAGCTCTCATCTATCCAGTATTAATTATAACTGGTAAACAACATACTGTATATCGAATGATCAGTTTAGACCACTTGCCTATATGTTTTCCAGACTGTCCCTTGCCACTGAAGTTAGTTGACATTTTTAAACAAACAGTGCTATTAGCAAAAACTGTATTGACTGCAACTATAAAAAGGCAGAAGAGAAATGTCCTTTTATTGAAAATGAAAATTATATCACCAGAAAAATACAAAAAACTTACTTTTAAAGCAAAGGAAATTCTTTTTACCCACTGAGAATTCAGTGAAAAATACCTTTTTTTTTTCTTTTTAAGAACTAGACCAGAACTGAGCTTAGTTCTGTCACCCAGGCTGGAGTACAGTGGCATGAGATTATAGCTCACTGCAGCCTTGAAGTCTTGAACTCCTGGGCTTAAGCAATTCTCCTGCCTCAGTCCCCCACACCCAGTTACTGGAACTACAGGCGTGAGCCACCCGCCTGGCCAAAAGATACATTTCAAAAAATGTTTTTAGTGTAATGGGTGTCAAGAATATTAAAAGGTACACAATACACAGTGCCTATGGATACGCTCAGAAATAGGAATCATATTATTCCAACAACTCATAATTTACATTAGAAAACAGAAGGTATTCCTTTTGTCAATTAATATATTAACAAAAAAAACTCAATTATTAATGTATGAATGTTGATAACAATATGCTTTGAGTTTTAAAGGAGGGGTTTGCTTTATCTTTGATTTTTTTAAGAAATTCAAAGATAAAGCAAAGCACAATGAATAATCAAATCTCCCATGTACCCTTAAGCAAGAACTAATAAAAATTGATACTTTATAATTGTTTCTAATCTTATACTTCTAATAAAAATATATAATAAAATACATGTGCATGTATGTGTATGGCTTAAATATTCTTAAACTTAAATCTAGCCTGTCTTTGTTGCAAACACCAAAGCAGAGGGTAGTCCTAGAGACACTCAACACACACACACTGATACATTGCAAATATCTTCTCCTACCCTGTCATTTGTTCTTTAACCATATTTCTTATAGTATCATTCTCATTCAGAAGATTTAAATTTTAAATATTAAAAAGTAACTATCTTTTCCTTTTCTCGTTTAGCTTTTCCTACTGTGATACCCTGATAACCACAAAAATATTCTCCAAAGTTTTCTTCTTACAGGCTTATTTTTCACATTTAAATATTTGATTCACTAAGAATAATTTTTGTATATTAATCAGGTACCTAATTTTATTTTATTTCATTCAAAGAAGCAATTGCCCTAACACCATTTATTGATTATCCATCATTTCCCCATTGATTTGTGAAGCTAATTCTGTCATATACCAAATTCACTTACATATATAGATCTGTTTCTGGTATTCTGTTCTAATAATTCACTACTATCACAACCCAATATTATATTTGTTTTATCACTGTAACTTTGTAGTATATCTTAATATCTGGTGTTCTTCTTAAAAATTATCTTAGCTATCCATGTACCTCTACTTATCTATATTTTGGAATTAGATTATAAAAATAATTGAAAATTTGGAATTGCCACTCAAGTTATAGACCAATTTGGAGATAAACAACATCTTTTCAAATTTGAATGCTCCCTTCATGAATCAATATGGCAACTCTCCCCATTCATTCTGGTGTTCGTTTCCAATAACATTTTATAATTTTCTTTATTAAAGTTTTGAATAAATTCTTGTTTCTTCTTTGATATCTATTATGTCTGTTGATATTGTGAATAAAGTCTTTATTTTTTTGTTATTGCTCCTAACCTTCCTGAAAGCCTTTACATCTAACAGTTTGTCCACTGACTTTCTTTTTTACAAATTGTGACGATTTTTTCTCTTCATTTCAAATCATCAAACTTCATTTCTTTTTCCTATCGTCTAGCTGTACCTAAACAAAGTCTATCTTGAATGAAAATTTGCCAGGTTGACTTCTTATTAACCCCTGTTCGGGAAATACCTCTAAGATTTCTATTTTATCTACTACTACCATAAATCCTGCCCTTAGGCAGATTCACATAGCATTCCTGTGTACCCCTGAGGGATCCACTTCAATTGTCCTGCCCATTCCTTCTCTATGGTATATATCCCCCTGGGTCTGGGGGACAATGGCACTGGGATCTACCATCTCCTCTTGTCTGGCAAGGTAAGTCCCTATTAAATGTTTTTTTCTGGCCAGGGCCAGTGGCTCATGCCTGCAATCCCAGCACATTTGGAGGCCAAGACAGGAGGATTACTTGAGGCCAGGAGTTTGAGACCAGCCTGCATAACACAACGAAATCCATCTCTACAAAAAAATAAAAAATTAGCCAGGCCTGGGGGCATGCATCTGTAGTCCCAGCTACGCAGAAGGCTGAGGCGAGGACTGCTTGAAGCCAGGAGTTCAAGGCTGTAGTGAGTTATGATCATGCCACTGCACCTCAGCCTGGGTGACAGAGAGAGACCTTATCTCTAAAAACAAAATTTAAAATTTAAAAAAATGTGGTTTTTTTCCCCGAGAAACTGGATTTGTCAGCCTCTTTCTTCCTCTTAGCTCTCTCAGACTTTGGGGGTAGCTTTACATAGATCAGCTCTCCTCGGAATTCTTGCATTGACTGGATTCTCCGGTATAATGCCAGAGAGCTATCGTGACAGTTATCATGTCCTGTTTCTGTTTAGATGCATCTTAATGGTAATGCATTTAAAATTTTGGGATAAAATATAAGATTTTGATAGATATCATTTATCTGGTTAAGAAAGTTTTGTTCTATTCTCAGTTTGCCAAAATCTTTGTACATGCATATACATAAAAGAGATCTCAATTTTTATCTAATGCTTGTTCTATATATAAAATATATATGTATAATATAGATATAGATATCTATATATAATATACTGATATATTTTGTTTCTTTTCACCACTTTATGTGGTAAATCATATTGACGGATTTTTCTAATGCTCATACTCATACTGATAAATTACAATGATAGATTTACCTCATCAGGGTAAGCATTGTAATTACATTCCCTATATTCCATCATAGCCCCATTGTGTAGCAATCTGGCCTATACTTACCCTGTACCAAGATTCAGAAATAGACCGTGAATTCCCTAAACCATGGGATTATTAGGATAAGCCCACCCCCTCTGTCAGAATGACTTACTGAGAAATCTGAATGTAACCCAGGCCTACACCTATAAGTTCACGTCATTTCACGGACTACTAGAAAATGGTTCAGTTGGTCCAATCAGAGTGAAACTCAGAACTTTTGTTCAGTCAGTAAAAGAATGAAGCCTTTCTGTCTGACACCAGGCATGAACAGATCACCCTGAATTACCCACCAATTTCTGCTGGTAGTCACTTTGTAACCATGTGGAAAGCCAGCTAAGAAGAAAGGTGACACAGAGAATAGCAGAGCTCAGTAGTTTACAAAAAGTATCATCAGATCCCAGATCAAACTATACCTCTTGTATTTAAGTCAGCTGAAGTTGTAATTAGTTTTGATTATTTCTCTTACAGCCAAAAGCATCTTGACTCATAAACTGGTATTTAACCCTTTGCACTCGCTTTTTTCTCGATTCCTTTATTCTACTCGGGATTTAATTTTTTAAATACCCCAGATTTTACAAAGCCCAACAGAATAAAAAACTAGAATTTCTTTTCATACAAACTTATTTATTTGGATTTTTTTATATTTCAAATGATTGACATTCAAAGAGTAATTTTAATCTCTATAATTTTTGCTAACCGTGTCAAGTCACACTCGACATCCAAGTGCAAAGGGTTAAGAGTACAAATTCTACCCGCTCATGGATATATTTATTATTTAATACACTGATGGAGTAGATATGCTATTTTATTTAGAATTTTTACCAATTATAATTTTAAATAAGTATAGTCAAACTGAATAAAAAGGCACATCTTATGAAAGACTATGTCCACTACAGTATTCTCTGATGCCTAAGCATTTATCCATTTGTTCAATGAATATTTCTTGATGATCTATCATGTGCCAAGTACTGGGGGTAAAATGAGAACCCAGACATAGTCCCTATTCCCAAAGAGCATTGAGACCTAATTTTACAGGCAGAAACATAAGAACGAAAGTGGGAACTCTCAACCAGAAGTGAAAGCCTGAATAAAGCTAATAGGATTTTTTTAATTTTCATCTTAAAATTTTCACTATCACTTTATCCCATTTCTCTTATAGTTCCTAAGAGTTTAATACAGTACCTGTATTAGATGGATCCAAAATTAACTGAAGAGATGGCTTATTTGTTTGGCTGGCTGTAACATCTCCAAATGAATTCTCTGAAATCTCACTGGAACTATGACAGTCAAAAAGAAGACTGCTTTGCCCTTTCTCGGAATCTCTCAAAATCTCTTCCATGGCTTTTTCCAGTTGTTCATCACCATTGGAAACTATCTATAGACAAAGCAAGACAATTGTGTTTCAATCTTATTATGGTTCTAAAGCTTAATTTTATGAAAATATTTCATTTCCAGAAGAAATTAAAACAATTTAAATGTAAATATAGTTCTTAAATAGTAAGAATTTGTACAGTTATATCTAATTTCACATAGGTATAATACACTAAAATCCTGAATTATAAAACCAACAAAATTAGAGGAGGATTATTAGTTTCATAAAAGTAGTCTGTATAAAATATTTCAGGCAGTTTTCTTTTTTTTTTTTTTTTTGAGACAGAGTCTCACTTTGTTGCCAAGGCTAGAGTGAGTGCCATGGCATCAGCCTATCTCACAGCAACCTCAAACTCCTGGGTTCAAGCGATCCTTCTCAGGCCTCAGCCTCCTGAGTAGCTGGGACTACAGGCATGCGCCACCATGCCCGGCTAATTTTTTCTATATACTTTTAGTTGTCCAGCTAATTTATTTCTCTCTATTTTTTAGTAGAGACAGGGTCTCGCTCTTGCTCAGTCTGGTTTCGAATTCCTGACCTTGAGCAATCTGCCCACCTCGGCCTCCCAGAGTGCTAGGATTACAGGCGTGAGCCACCGTGCCTGGCCATATTTCAGGCAGTTTTCAACAATATTTGATAGAAGTTCCTATTTGCAGAGATTTCCTTTTTTTTTTACTTTTTACTTTTTAGGAAAACATCTTAACATTCAGATAACCTTAATTATGTGTTTTAAATGGAAAAAAAATGGATAAGTAAATAGGGTCTATTGTGAATATCACCTAAAAGGTAAAGGTCATATTTCGGCCGGACGAGGTGGCTAACGCCTATAATCCTAGCACTCTGGGAGGCTGAGGCAGGTGGATTGCTCGAGGTCAGGAATTCGAAACCAGCCTGAGCAAGAGGGAGACCCCGTCTCTACTATAAATAGAAAGAAATTAATTGGCCAACTAATATATATAGAAAAAATTAGCCGGGCATGGTGGCGCATGCCTGTAGTCCCAGCTACTCGGGAGGCTGAGGCAGTAGTATTGCTTGAGCCCAGGAGTTTGAGGTTGCTGTGAGCTAGGCTGGCACCACGGCACTCACTCTAGCCTGGGCAACAAAGTGAGACTCTGTCTCAAAAAAAAAAAAGGTCATATTTCATGTTATTAGAGCATAAAAATAATTTTGGTTTCTTTACAAATTGCTAGCTGCCAAGGAGCATTGCTAATTTCCTTAAATTTAAGTTGACTCATCTTCTTAAAAGGAGGTGAGACACAAAGCCAAAGTAAATAAATGGTGTCTTAAAGTCAACAATGTTAAAAGTACAAATATCTAAAACTAAAGTCATTAATAATTTAAATAAAATTATAAAATCATATATTCTCAATATAATATAGGTATTTAATAATCTCATTTTTACAATATATTTTATTAGACTGATAAACTAATACACCTTTGATGAAAAATAAAATGTAGCATTTTCGACTAATTTTTCTATTCCTATTTCTAGAGGATAGTTATACAATTCTCATGTATACATACCTGGGTTTGCTCATTTTCTCTTCTCTGATTTAGGAAAGGCAACACAAAAGTGAAAAAGAAAAAGGACTATATCCAAATAAAAATTCTACTGCTAAAAATATCAGACATATGCTTTGAAAATATTCAGAGAAGTCAACTTTTAAATCACATACCAGAATGTTACCAACTGATTAAAACATAATAACCAGTCCTTGATGTAACAAGTACCTAATATGAAGCAAAATAATTATTCATATAATTAACTTCTAAAACCCAGCAGTAAGAGAAAAATAGCCAGATACATTAACGTAAGATTTAACTGGCCAGTCTAGGTTACCAAATAATTATCCCTTCTCTTCTTTTTTCTCTTCTATTCTTTTCTCCTAAAATTACAAATTAAAAGGTAAATAACCAAAAGCAAAAATCTTTAAAAACACACAAACAAAATAATTAGGCTCTGGATAAATCAAACATTAATTTTATTCTCAAAGTCAGTATTTTAAAAAACCTTTGGGTTTTACTCATCTCCTGAGATACATTTTAAATGGTTTTAAAAACAGTAATTAAAAATAGTACCATACATATGTAGAAAAGAAAGCAATACCTTCAGTTGAGGTTTTTCTTCATCTTTTGTAGAAGTATCATCTGCATGCTGAGGAACCAAAACAAATTCTTCGCTGTTCAGTGTACCCACAGAATCAGATGACCCACTAACCTTCTGTAATGAAGCTCTGACCTCCATTTCAGTTCTGCAAACTTCTCTTTCCACATCCACCTGGCAAAACCATAGTGATAGAAAAAAAAAAACCTATTGATTAAAAGCATGAACTAATTAAAAAACATAAGCTAACAAAGCTTTTAAAATGGTTCGTGTAAAGAAGAATCCTGCTGGCAAGATAATTATCTCAAAATTAAGGAGGCTACCTTCTTGGACTGGGCCACATGATGGAAATGTACTCTCTCCACCCTGCATTTCCAGAGTGAAAGAACCATATTGTTCCCTAAAAAACAACACTAACCAGCCCATATCTCAACTAAACATATTTACCACTGTTTATTTGATTCTCTCTATCTCTTAACAATACTGTTTTTGTTCATTTTAATAGAGGAAATAATGATACTAGAAATACCTACAAATGCACATATACAAACAAAAATACATTCCTCAATATTACTTTATTAATTAAATCTAAATGATTCAAAAAAACTTATCTTCTCAAGACCAAGTATTGTACCTTAAAATATTTTTTCTGGATCACTGAAGGTGACTAATATAGAATTCAATATCCTAAGACATGCATCTTTCTTTTCCAGACATATTACCACTTATCAGCACCAAAAAAAACCAAAAAGTTTCACACTGTATGTGTAAAAAACAATATATTAAAAAAAAAAACTTTCACATTGCATTCATGTAACAAACAATATTTCAATAATCAAATACAGTATAATTCTCCTTTCTGGACAGATATCTACATTATACCATACAAACAACACTATGATTTCCAGAAGTTCATGTATTCACATAACTAATTTTAACTGAAGATATACACTACAGAGCAGACACTAACTACTCAGCCCTGGAATTACAGGAGTGAATAAAGCAGACAGGCAGCCGGCTCTCTTAGAGCTTACATACTAGTAAAAAAACAAGCAAACAAGAAAGTAAGCAAATAAGTTAATTCCAAATCACTCTAAAGGCTATGATAAAAATAAACAGTTAATCTGACAAAGAGTAACTGTAGGGTATATAGGGACAACTTTCAGTAAAGTGGTAGGAAAGAACTCTGAGAGGGAACTATTTGAGCTAAAACCTAAAAGACAAGAAGAACCATATATTAAATAATCTGCTCGGTATCCAAGACAGGCAGGACAAATAGGCTGGGGTTAAGAACCACAGGACCTCAGAAACATGGTAGTCTATTGATCCATGCCTAAATGCTCAGAAATGGTATTCTTTCTAATTAGGTTACTTTTTTCACGGTTGCATTTAAATATGGCTGCAGCCGGGCGCGGTGGCTCACGCCTGTAATCCTAGCTCTTGGGAGGCTGAGGCGGGCGGATTGCTCAAGGTCAGGAGTTCAAAACCAGCCTGAGCAAGAGCGAGACCCCGTCTCTACTATAAATAGAAAGAAATTAATTGGCCAACTGATATATATATAAAAAATTAGCCAGGCATGGTGGCGCATGCCTGTAGTCCCAGCTACTCGGGAGGCTGAGGCAGAAGGATTGCTTGAGCCCAGGAGTTTGAGGTTGCTGTGAGCTAGGCTGACGCCATGGCACTCACTCTAGCCTGGGCAACAAAGTGAGACTCTGTCTCAAAAAAAATAAATAAATAAAAATAAATAAATAAATAAATATGGCTGCAATATTCCATTTTGCCATTAGGTGACACTAACACCATTACTCTTGGCAAAAAAAAATTTACTTCCAGTTTCAAGTTCCATTTTAAAAAAATGAATTACTTTCCAACTTTATAAAAAAAATCAAAATGTCTAAGAATACCAAAGAATAATTATACTCCTAGGCTAGTGCAATTAGCTAGCCATAATTTATTTCCATTATACATGTTAATATCCTTTCTTTTTAAAACCCTTCAAACACATTCATCTGTCCTCTAAAGGTTTTTCTGACTTTGCATAGTATGTTCCTGAAAATGCAGTATGTGTTATTATACAAGCCACATCTTTACTCTTCTAGGCTTCACCATGGATCCTTGATTGTCCAGATACCACATATACCAGATATCTTTCTGTGATCAGTCTTTCTCCAAATCTTTCTCAGATTGCTGCTCCTCCACCTGACATCTAAATGGTGGAAATTCCCTGAGTTCAAGTCCTGAGCCCTTTCACTTGTCACATACTCTAAGTAATATTAATAACTTTCATTTTCATGAGTTGAAATAACAGTCTCCCAAATTTGTATCCCCACTGAAATATCTCCTCTAAATTCCTGACTTGAAATCTAAATCTCTACTTGATATTTTCACATGGAAGTCTTATCGATACCTTGAATGGGATGGGACCAAAATGGAATTCCTAATGTTTCCTCCAAACTTGTTTCTAGTCCAAATTTCCCATTACCGTAAATAACACCACCTTCTACTAATCCAGATAGTATCCCTGATTCATCTCTACGTTTTCACTCCTCACATCACCAAGTCATGTCATCCCCATTTCCAAAACAAACGCCACATCTATCCATTTTCCTTCATGTCTACGACTACCACCCTATTCTAAGCAATGCTCTTTTATCTACTACAAAAGCCTCATAACCCATTTCATACCTCCAGTCTCCTCCCCTCAATCTATGTTACCCCTTCACGAAGCTGCCAAAGAAATTTTTTGGAAAATAAATTAGATTACATTGAAACTCCAGACTAAAACCTTTTCACTACAATTCAAGTAAAATGCAAACTCTGCCAGGACTTACAAGGCCAAATAAACCCTTGTCCCTGCCACTTCCTCATTATAGCTCTTTAATCACAGCAAGTTCTAAGATAAGCAAAAACCAAGGAAATTCATTAGAGCAGACCTGTCCTGAAAGAAAGGTTAAAAGTGGTTCTTCAGACACAAGGAAAATTATACAGGTCAAAAACATGGATTTAGGCCGGGCGCGGTGGCTCACGCCTGTAATCCTAGCACTCTGGGAGGCCGAGGCGGGCGGATTGCTCAAGGTCAGGAGTTCAAAACCAACCTGAGCGAGAGTGAGACCCCATCTCTACTATAAATAGAAAGAAATTAATTGGCCAGCTAAAAATATATAGAAAAAATCAGCCGGGCATGGTGGCTTGTGCCTGTAGTCCCAGCTACTCGGGAGGCTGAGGCAGGAGGATCACTTGAGCCCAGGAGTTTGAGGTTGCTGTGAGCTAGGCTGACGCCACGGCACTCACTCTAGCCTAGGCAAGAAAGCGAGACTCTGTCTCAAAAAAAAAAAAAAAAAAAAAAAAAACACATGGATTTATATAATAAAAGGAAGAATAACAATGTAGTAGATGATTATAGCATGTGGATAAAGGAAATGAATGACAGCAATGGAAAAAGGAAAAGAAGGGTGAAGGGAAATATCCTATTATAAGGTACTTAATACTACGCATACATGGGTTATATGTAGTATAACATTATTTGAAAATGAACTTAGATTAGTTAAAAATATATATTATAAACTCTAAAACAATCACTAAAATCTTTTTTAAAGTACAATTGACATGGTAAGTGAAGAGCTACAATGAAATAATATAAAATGCTTAATTAAAACCAGGGAACACAGAAAAAGAAAGAAAAAAGGAAAGAGTAAATGCAACAAGCAGGTACAAATATGATACATCTTAATTCAAGTATATCAATAATCACTTTAAATGTGAATAGTCTAAAAACACCAACTAAAAGACAGAAATTGTCATGGTAGTTTAAAAAAACAAGATCCAACTATATGCTATGTGTAAGAAATGCACTCTAAATATAGAGGCTTAGAAAGATCAAAATAAAAGGATGGAAAAAGATATGTCATGCTAGCATTAATCAAAAGGAATCTGGAAGAGCAGAAACACTGCTCTCACCCAATCCTCCTCATTTAGGGTAAACCTAGGCAATACCACCAAAATACCAGCTTACCACTCTTTTCTCATGGACTCTGACACCAAACTCATTGACAACAAGGTACTATTCCTATCAGAAGTCAGTTCAAGGAACATGACCCTAGAAAGACGTAAGACAGAGATTAGAAGTGAAGCTTTCTATTACTTCAAGGCCAATGCCTTCTTCAGTAATTATGCTTACCATTAAATAAACATCCTTTTTAAAAATCTAACATCTATAAAGTAAGATTTCTTAGAAGCCTTAGGAAACTAGAACAAAGAGAGCAAATGAAAGGAAATAAAAAATATAACAGAAATAAGTGATACTGAAAAGAGGAAAGTAATACAGAAAAATAAAGTCAAAACCAAAAGCTGGTTCTTTGAAAAGATCAATAAAATTGCTAAACCTCTAGCCAGACTAAACAAAAAAAAAAGAGAGAGAGAGAGAGAGAAGACAAATTACCAACATCAGAAATGAAAGAAAGGGTCATCACTACCAATCCCCTGAACATTAAAAGGATAATAAAGGCATAGTATCAATAACTCTATACCCACAAATTTATTAACTCAGATGAAACTGGGGCAACTTCTGGGCTCCCCCCTCTCTTGGAGCCCCAGAACCTCGTCCACAAAGAAAAAAAAAAAGATGAAACTGACCAGTTCCTTCAAATAAACAAAGTGCCAAAATTCATACCAGAAGACACAGACAACCTGAATAGACCTATATTTTTAAAGAAACTGAATCAACAATAATGAAAAACCTGTCCAAAACAGAATGCACCAAACAAAGATAACTTCATTGGTGAATTCCACCAAACATTTAAAGAAAAAAATATCAATTCTCCATAAATGGAAGCAGAGAGAACACTTCTAACTCATTCTGTGAAGCCAGCATTACCCTAATACCAAAACCAGATTACAAGAAAACTAGAAACCAATATCTCTAATGACATAGACAGAAAAATCCTCAATAAAAGATTAGAAAAACCATATCCAAAAATGTATAAAAAGAATTACATACCAAGTATGCAAGACCAGCTCAATATTCTAACCAATGTAATCAAACATTTATATCAATAGGCTAAAGAAAAATCATGATCAAGTCAATTGATGGAGAAAATGTATTTGATAAACTACAACACCCTTTCATGATAAAAACTCTCAGTGAACTAGCAATTGAGAGAAACTTCCTCAACTTA